AGCCGAAATACCCCCCCCCCCCGCCCTGCGAAGGAAGTCAAAGGACTGTGCCGAGAGAGGATCCAAAGAATGAGAAGGGAACATGAGGCAACAACAGCGAAACCGCGGTCACGGCATACCGCACGCTGTATCTTCGCAAGTTCCCGTCGATAGAAACACCTGTGTTCGCGGCATGCAAAAATGCCGAACGGATTGAATGGATTCTTTGGGCAAACCTCGCCAACATTTGACGAAGATCTCTCCCCGATGAAATGTGAGCGTTGAGATGCTTTGAGTGAAAGTTGCTGCTTGACACAACTGCTACGTGAGATTCGGCTCTATTTGCCGCAGAGTTGCCGCAAATGAACGACTTCGGGCTTCAGCTGGGGCCATCACGAAGAACATCGCTACAATGTATCGCTATCATACCACACCACTTCAGCCACCTAATCCAAGCGTTGTCACCAGTTGAACAGCGGAAACAAACGCCAGTAGTCAGCGAGTCTGTGCGCAGCAGAAAGTGTCAACGCCTCGGCAGCGACCCGCAGGGTCTTGCAAAGGAACTCTTTCTCGACTTCTTGGTCCTGGAGGAGTTGCAGGAACCTACTTGGAGGTTCATGGGAAGTTATAAATGGGGTTATAACTAGGGTAACTATAATTATAACCAATATTCGGGGACTTATAACCATACTTATAAGTACCTATGAACCTCCAAGTAGATCAGGTTGGACTGATGACTGATACATAACAGGAACCACAATGCAAACCCACTCGTCTTTTGCCGCCGACACCGCACGGTTCTCATGCTCTTATGAAAGCCCTGTACTAGGAGGATGTCTCTGAGTCAGAAGACTCAGACCACTCAGGCGACGAAAGCTCTCGCTCTGACTCTGCGTACGCCCGTGACAGCGTGAAAACCACTTCGGTCAGAAGTGCCTTGGCAAGGATGGAGCCACAACCTGGCAATGTCGCAGCCCCGTCCAAGCCCATCAGAGAGAGCATCGACGTCAGGAAAGCCGTGGAAGTGCCGAGGGGAAGCACAATCGCTGTGTTGGACATGAAGCTCAGATCGGCGATCTTGCATACAATGATCTGGGCAAGGTCCAGCATCAACACCTTCTTGGCAACTTTGCAGATGAAGGCGCGGCCATCTTTCTGCGATCGCACGTACGTCAGCACAGTGCCAAGGATGGCTCCCAGCCAGAAAAGTGTCACTGCCCAGCCAGCAGGGGAATCAAGGACCAAAGTGCAAGTGACAAGTCGGGCCACATGGAAGGTTACAAAATACCTCACGCGCAGCTCACAAAGAAAACCCGATGCCCCATGTCCAGCTACTTGTCGAATCGTGGCACTAAGATGTCCTATCTTTATTCATAAGCTGTTCATATATTCACTCGTCTAGACCAGCCGAAGCAGCATTAGAGTCGCGTGATCTGCATCCACCGCATGCTTGACGTCGATGCCTGCTGCTGATGCTCGTCGCAAGGAAGCTGTCGACATGCCCGCTCTAAGCAGCACACCAATAGTGGCGTCAACTACACTAGATCGTGCCCCGATCTCCCGCCAGATTCTGAGAGCATCGTCTTCCCAAGAACAGCGTGCAAAGCAGCTGCTCCCCGAGTAGCCAGCCTCCAAACTCATTTCGCTTGCCTCTGTGGCTTGCCGATTTACTCGGTCTACCTCCGCCACTGTTATACATACCCCCATCGAACACCAGAAAAGATTCGACGTCGTCACAAATGCTGACACCTGCTGGTGCGGAAAGTGCAACAATTGCAGCGGCACAAGCGAAACAGCCATAAAAAATCCCGCCAAGCCAGCATTGGCAAGGTGAGCAATACGGCGGCAAAGCGGATCAGAAACACAGTTGGATATGAAGAACAAGCAGCAGAAAATCGTCGTCAGCCAACGTGCTGGCGTGGAGTGGTACTCGCAGCTGAAGATCCGACGACCCACGCAAAAGCCCACGCCAAAAGAAAACACTGCTGTGCTGGCCGCTTCCAGCTTTCGCCGGTGGTAGGGCATGGTAGCTGTCAGAATGATTTTTTCGTGCTCAAACGCAAGAAAAGCTTCGTAAACACACCATAACCTGGGGATTTACGCTGTCACGCACAGTTGAAAGGGTACGGTCTATAGAAAGCCTATGCGAATCCAGATGTTAGCAACCAGAAGTGAAGTGTAGCACCTATTCGGTGTAGTAGGATACCCCGAGAACCTCGCATACACGCTTTCATTCTCGTTCGGCACCACAAGCACATACTTCGCAGAGACGAGTGCAAGTGCAAAAGGAGAGGACTTCGGTTCGCTGATCAGCCTCTCGATGTTGAGGTTCTGGGGATTCGCGAGCATACAGCACCAGGCATTCCTCGCATCAAAGGGCCAGGAGTTCAATAGCTGCCGGGTGAACTCGAAGATGCCTTCCTCAGGGATCTGCATCTTACGAACACACCAACACTGTTTGGGCTATGTACCTGTTCCAAGCTAGCCAGCAACACCCTACCAGTCGTTCCCCAAAGGACAAAGAACCTGTGCAACGTTGGTGAGGCTACAGAGCTGCACGAGTCCCTTCTTTGCTCTGTTAGTACCTGCCAGGCGTGCGTGACGAAGACGTCGCATGCGAGCCCACCAGGATGCCTCATCAAAGACCAGCTCATGCCACCAGCGGCCAGCGTTATGGGCTTTATGAGCTGGTCGGTCAAGGTATAGATGCTGGGACCAATCTTGTGGCAAGCAAGGCCGAAAACGAGCTCTACTCTAGTACATCTGGTAGATAGTAGGTGCTTCGGGCTACCTGCTGAAAAGAAAGCCAATAATCGGTATTGGCAAGCAACGGTCCCATCAGTCTTGTCGAATGGATCTGCTGCAGACGGCGCCACCCACCCATCCTCTAAAGCATCAAGAATCAGTTGGTGGAGATGCGAAAAATCTTCACGTGTGACACACCAGCGGTCAGGCGGCACGAGGCGATGCAGAGCTTCCCCGTCGCTGATGTCATGATGCAGCTTGTGCTCGGGAGAGCCGTTGAGTTTCAGTTCAGCGATGGCTTGGATCAGAGATTCCTCATCGAGCGCTCGCTCGTGCCCACATATGCAGCGCCGGCAGTCAACCATTGTTTCGGCAACTGTGTGCCAAGCCCTGTCTAAGCCGGTCATACACTGGTAAAGGACCTGGTGCTTCGATGTGTCTTTGCAAACTCGTACGGCGGAACCTGCTGTGAATTGCAGCAGATTTGAACTCATGTTGTGCTAACACGCTACTGGAATCACACTGCCAACTTCTCTACTTATTTATGAGGGTACCGAGCCAAACCAGTTTGGAATCAGAACTTCTGCCATGCTTGTCTAACAGATCCCTCTGTCTAAGAGAAAACCATGTATGCAAGAGCTGTATGCCGCGTGGGCCGGGGATCTGATGTGGGGGTGCCCGTGGGCCGGGGATCTCAGATGATAAGGTCGAGAGTAAAGCACGCAGACCCCTGGACCCATCACACGCCTCCTCGGTCTGTACGTGTGATGTCCACCCGGACTCAGACTTCACTGGAGGGTGAAGTCCACCCCAAGAGAGAATGAACGGAACATGAGTGGGGGTTGTCAACAGGAGTTCCTCCCCGAGGCCCGAGGCGCCAATCCGATGCATCGAACTCGTGTTTTCATAAATTTTAACTTTTCAAGATCATCGCAAACTGAGCTCAAGCAAAACGCGCCCGTCGATTTCCAACGTCAGCAGAATGTTGTCATGTCAGGGGCAAAACCTAAGCCAGCTGAGGTCGAAGTTGTCGCGTGGTTCACGCTGGTGGATGTCTGAGTGCTTGAAGTGGAAACCACACCGCGTGTGAAGTACACTTGATGGATGTCCCAGATCATGTCGAGCTTGGTGAAGATCAAGAGGTCCCCGTCGCCCGTGGCCAACAAGGTCTCGAACACCTCCAGCTTGAACACTGCCAGGGTGTCGTCGTCCAAGCGTGAGGAAAGTGCGCAGACACTTGTGGTAGGGGGAGGGGAAAACTGCTCGTTGGCATCCACCTTCTTCTCAACATACCCCCAGAACCACATCCAGGCATTCTCTCTCCAAGTTTCATCGCGACGGCAGCAGGGATCGCAGAGAAGCGAACATCGCGGACGTAAACTCGTAAAGTGTGACCTTGTCGCAGCGGGCCAGCGTTAGCGCCAGGACGTCGCACTCCTCCTGCATGCGGTCGTTGTTGCTGACGGAACCAGGGACTGCATGGCATACAGGATGTCGACGAACCATCTCCGATCCCCCACCCCCATGACCGAGGCGTAGCTGCTAAAGCTCAGGTCAGCAGGAGCCCAGCTGCAGAGCTAAGCTCTGCAGCTGCTCCGCTGCGGCCTCTGCTGTGGGCCTGTGCCATGGCTCCCTCTCGACTAGGGCGGCCACATACTGCGCAAGCACAGGAGGCAGGATCGACATCTCGTCTGAGTCGATTGGGTTGCTAAAATTGCGTCGAGCAGCGGGGCATCCTTGGCTGGCTGAAGGACATCACACAGAGACTGCCCGGCAGAGTATATGTCGGTGGACGTGTCAAACTCTTGGCCTGCCAAAAAATTCAGGCGAGGCATACCGGACGTCCCTGCGTCGTGCTGCATGAGCCCCTCTCTCAGCTGTCAGATTCACGGCTGTGCCGAAGTCGGCAATAACTGCCCTGTTCTTGGAATCGAACAGTACATTTTCGGGTTTCAAATCGCAGTGCACGATCTTGAAGCGGTGCACGTGCTGCAATCCCTGTAGGACGTCTGTCATTGCCCCTGTGGCTTGAGGGGCTTCCTGCGGAGCCCTTGCTTGCCAGGCGCCGCCGGGCAAGTGTTGAGCACTAGGCTTAGGATGATGGTCCCATTCACTGGGTGCTGGTCACCGTGCAAGCGGATCAGGTTGATGACGTTCGGGTGCTCACCCAGTGTCTTTAAGATCCGTTCCTCAACTAGAACTTCATTTCTGTCCCCACATTTGCTCGTCTTGTGAACATAGCCATCCACAAGCCACACTTCACAAAAATTGCCCGTGCCGAGCAGCTTGGGCGCTTGCCTTGCATGGCTGGTCAACAAGGTTGGGTTGAGACAATTTGCCTGCAGCTTTGTCAGCACCGGCTTCTTGCGCAGCCGGCTTTCCTTGGGTCGCCCAAATAGCCTCTGGGGGCTTCGGCGCCACCTCAGCGGCTGGGACTCGAGTTCGTAAGAACCCGGCCCTGGACCGCCATGCCGCAGAGGTTTTTTTGTGGCATGGCTTTTTCTCGGGCGAGAAAAAGCCATGCCACAAAAACACACACACACACACACACACGGACAGTGCTGGTCCAGTCTAACAGAACATGCACATGTACGCTACTCGTCATAACCCTCAGACACGCTGGGAGGCTTCGATGCTTGAGCACGATCGAACAAGCTTGACAAGTTGTCCACACCTGGATGATCGGAGAATTGGGACACAGTGGACTCAGTAGAAAGCAGGAACCCTCTGAGCATCTTTCAGCCTTCGGCAGTAACGTCATACATCCAGAACAAAGGTCTTTACTACTGATCTTTGCCGAACTGCACATGCAGAAGACCGTCCTCGGTAGCTTCATGAGCCTGCGGCAAGTGCAAGCTTCTGAGACTTCTAGCCTTCTGCTCCACCTGACCCAGATCCTTCACGCAATATGGCCCAGAAAGTTACGAGCAACGGCCGTGAGAGGCCTGCGAAGCGCCTTCTGCAGATCGGCCTGCTCATGGACGAGCATGGCACAAGCAACAGCATCTGTCCAATGCTTCATGTGCAGAATCCCGCCGTGTTCGAGCAACGCTGAAGTCGCAGCGGCTAAAGCCACATCACCTGGGAACTGCTTGCCCGGTTTTCGGTGCATCTTAAAGGCACTCCAGTCCAGAAGCCGATATCTGTCACGACGACTCACGCGCTGACCATGGAAGCAGGGGATGCAGGTTAGAGTTAAAAAGCCGGCCCCCAAGGCCGCAACGAACGTGGTCAGCACGCAACCTCAGAAGGCAGGTTTCGGGATGACCTTTACCGCACTGTTTCACCTCGGGTCTAGGTCGTGCGGAGAGCTTTTTTTTTACTGTCACGAAAGCGAGCAGAAGTCGATCTTTATGGTGCAGGTCCGAGTTTTGTTGATGGCCCTCGTTCCTTCGAGGGACCTCCTCTGTCTGCGGCCGCGTGGACTTGCTCGAGACACTCAAACGAGAAAACGGCCTCCTCCCTCTGGGCAAGCGGTCAAGTAGCTTCTGCCAGGTCTTCCTCTCTGCAGAGCCCCGGCCCTCGCAGCAGAAGCTGGAGGACGCCCTGCAACGTTATGTCGGAGCCGCTCTTCTGCACATGTTACGGCAGAAGCAGCCTCAGCAACCACGAGGTGGCCGCTTACAGGCTGGCAAAAAACTGTGCCAGAAAACTGTCCATCCAATGATTCTCCAGTTCGTCCGATGTGCCATGGTCCTTGGCGGGAGATGCACGTGGCCTGCAATCATAACCAAAGTCAGCTACACCCTGAACCCTAAACCCTAAACCCTAAACCCTAAACCCTAAACCCCTACCCCCACAAAAAGTAGTCGGTGGGGCCGAAGCGGGAGGCCGGACCGGGGGGTTGAAGGGCATATGGGCTTCAAGCAGGTGGGGGTTTCCGAAATCAGGGGGTCCCCTAATATGTCGTACCCTAAATAGTAGGATCCTTATAATAAAGGACCCCAGAATAAGGTACCCCTTATTTTCGGAAACTCCCCAAGTGTCTGCTCCATCGGCAACCTCCACGTTCACTCGAGTCCAACCTGCGGCAGCAAGACGACGAATGGCCGGAAGCACCTCGGCTGAGGCAGATCCCCAGGAACTGGTTGCCCAGCATGCCTTCGGGACATCCCAGTGTCCAGTGCCGACTTCAGTGCCAGCAGTAACTCCCCACACTCCTACAGGAAAACTAATGTGATGCCCACATGGGTGCTGCAAGGCGGCCCATTGCGTTCGCATTGTGTCATCTGCAGCCTGGATGACCGATGCATCTGGCAATGACGGCTCGGAAGGCTGTGTCTTATACAAAGGGGTGGCAACATGCATCTGAGATCTAGTGCACACTACACAGGCACTTTGCTTTATGCGGGTTCTCCTCCTGTTCGCTGGAAACACTGAGCGACATGCATCGAGCGGCGGCATTGAAGAAAAAGCAGGGCACATCTCGCTGAAGTGAACTTTGCAGCGGTGTCGTCTTCAGCGGATGGCCCACGAATCCAACAAATCCTGGCAAGCTGCATCAATCTGCATCATCAAAACCATGCTCACTTTAGATGGCGGAGGCGTCGGCAACTGCAAGCTGCATGACACAACCGCAGAAGGCAGGAACAGATCGTCGGTGAGCTCCTAACGGTAGGTAGAGCCTTGCAAACGAGGCGTCGCACCTCGCTTTCTTCTCTACTTCTCGAAACACATGCAGCAGGAGGTCCGCCAAGTCTTGCAGGGTGCCGCGCAAAGGCATCAAAGGCGGCGCAGCAGCCTTGAGACGCCCCACCCAGCAGAACTTTGCGATGCTCTCCCATGAGGGCGGCTTCTGCATCCACGATCCTTTCGTCTCGCGTAGGCTGCTACATGCATTTGATGTTCCCTGTGACCTGTGTTTTCTCCAGTGGTCAAATCATCCCAGCCAAGCCGCATTTCGAGTCGCCGGCGTGTTGCATGGAGCGATCTATCATCAATGTCATCCTTCGAGACATCTGCAGCTGGTCGCCGGTTTGAAACTTGTGGTATAGCGATGTGTCGTGCCGTCATGCTCGCCTCTGCATCGTGGCACACGAGAACCACTGCACACTGCTAGAGGGTCCTCCTCCACCCCGTCATGGTCCGTTAAGTAGTCATACCATGCATTCCTCGGAAGAGGCATCGGAATGGCTGCGCTGCCAGCTGTACCTTCATGCGCGTTCGTCCACAAGTGCCTCTAGGCTTCTGCTTCTGGCCACCATGCGCTGTGATGCTCTGCAGGGGTGCAGTGGGGAGAATGACCCGCAAGCCCTGACAGCGGAAGAGAGTGAATACCTGGCAGCACCAGGACAACCGGAAATAATGACCAGCTTGGAACACTGTTTTCTCGGAGCTGCAAGGCTGTAAGGGGAGCACCTCACTTTCGGAGTACATTTCCGCAGTGTTGCAGAAACCATGCAGAAACCTTGCGTCACCCGGTTCGACCAGTGGACACTTCTTACGTGATGCAGGTGCTAGTGAGGCAACTGAGCAGAGGCACACTAAGGAGGCCCGTGGGGCCAAATCAAGCTGTGGAGGTAGCACCACACCTGAGCCCATACTATCGGGTGGCGGGATACAGGTCCAAAAGCCCTGTCAGTGTGCAGCAAGGGGTGCAGAATCAGAAGAAAGGACTAAAGTGCGCACGAGCGGCTGTTAGCGTCCGAAAACGGTGCGGACGATTGCAATGGCCGGGCTTGCGTGCTCTTCCGGGGAGTCTCACATGCAGCACCTTTCGACCGGTCATTGATACCCCTAGCCTTTTGAGGCTGAATGCCCATGCTCAACTTGCAATGTGTTGAATGTTCCATAACGCCGACAAGATAGAACCCCTACGCAACCACAAGAGAACCGACATTGAGGATTACGTGCAACATTCGAGATCACGTTGTCACATGGAGGCACCAAACAAAAGCTTCAAAAAATGAAGCTAACAAAATGGGAACCAAATCAGCGATAAATTCTACCATACACAGCCAAGAGGCTTAATTACCAAGCATTGGGGAGGCAGACTAATCAGAAAATTGATTCCACCGTCTTCGTTTTACCCCAACACAATACTAGATCGCTCGAGACCTCGTTGCGTCGACAATATTGCGGATGGCTCAGGTACGAGTGCTAAGTGTCCAACAGCAGTCTGCAGCCGGAGTGTTGATCAGCGTGCATGTCGAGCATGTCCAATTAGCCAGAGAATCGCAAGCTGCACAACCTTTCAATCTGAAGGAGTCCCGCGGTCCCACGCTCACTACGCGCTGTGAAATATACAAACCAAGAGGCGAAGAGCCCCAGATGCATTACGTAGTGTGCACCGTTGACACACCACATTCATAATCTCTCGCCCTGAGCTCTTGGAGTTTGGCTACTGATGGAGGGACAAGTGCAGAGGGTCGCTGGCCTGCCCGGAGCCGCTTCGCAACATGGGCACGAAGACCCGAAGCCGAGCCTGTACGAATCCTAGCAACACTCTCAGCACGTTTCTCAGCCTTGTTCCACAAAGCCGCCTCTTCGCTTGGGAGGCATGGACGTCGATTCTCGAAGCCATGCAACAGAGCAGGTGTAAGACCAAGAACTCTCCAACTTTCAACAGCTGTATCCATGTCTAGCTGTATATTTAGATCAGGTTTTGGACCGGAACTCCCAGCTTTCCTGGTCCGTTGGAGTCATATTCAGTTGACATGCTCACCCTGAATTCGGACTTGAGCTTGAGCGGCGCTGCACGGATGACCAGCAGCCGCTATGCTTCGCATGGTGATGGTGACTAGCCCGATGCCAAAAACCCTTTGCCTAGTCAAGCTCGTCCAGCTGAACATTCTGACGAGACCCTTGTCGGACTCCGGTAATCTTTCGCGCATGTGTCTGAGTGCTTCGCAAGCATTCATCAAGCTTTTCTGCCCAGTCAAGCTCCTGAGATTTCTTGCATGCTCAGCCGTGCCTGTGCCGCTTATGCCCTCGCTCTGTGCGTCCGGGTGGCGATGTCCCAGCCCATCCGCCATCCGCTCCGCTCGAGGCGAGCAAGCGAGCGACCGACCGACAGCCTCTAGACGAAGTTCTAGATTCCCTTCCAATGGCATTTCATTGCAAGGATTGCATCTAGTTCTTGTCCTCTCCGCTGTAAGCCTACCAGAGGGAAGTGCAAGTTAAAGTGGCCTGTCGCATGAAACACAGAGCTGGCAAGGTGGCTAATTTTTGTGAACCGCGTCGAGTCGCGATTGATCAGTCGAGGCCTTCGCCGTAGGTCCCTGCGGTAGCTCTGCAGAAGTGCAAGAGTAAAAAGAGGGCACTGATACAGTTCGGAGTCGCAGGTTGCGACATTGTATACAGCCTTGATGGCGCCAGATTGAAACCTCCAGTGGGTCACGGGTCGCATGCCTCGAAACTCTTCGTTTCACAGGGTAGGTTGAACAGGTTGCAGCTGACCAACCTGCAGCTCTGCATCAGCAGAGAGAGCAGAACGGACTAGCTGACCCACCAGCTCTGCATGCGCAGAGAAAGCAAGAAACTGAAACGTCCTGCCACTGCGCCTCACAACCACTGCAAGTGGAGTTCAGTCATCGTTGCTGAAGCAAGGCTGCTGACAAACATGTCGAACATGGCACCGGCGGCAGCTGGCGGTATGCACAAACGGTTCCTACATGATCTTGCGATAAAACAGTTGCTCAGCAGTCTCAGTGTGCTCAATTTGGCACTCGAGGACTGCCGGTCTGGTTTCTTAATCATTTACTAAAGTGTACACGCCACTCGCTCGTGGAATAGCTCAACGGTGGCCTCTGGTTTTAACAGCAAGTCTGGACGGTTTGAAAGTGGTAACAGTGGCATGAGCCACTCGATCTTCTTGGAAGAAATCGAGAGTCTCAAAGGCCAACACCGGTCAAATCACATCTGCTAGGTATGTGACTAGCTAACTAGCTGCAACTCGCTGTTACGAAGCATTGCACTTAGGACGGGGCCAAGCAGGACCCAAGCATGATCAAAATTGAAGTCCAGCAAAGCGGTGATTTTGAAATACACCCTCTGTTACCATATCGGGTCAGCATCTTGGAGACACTGCCCTAGGCAACAGCTGAGAAGTCTCAGACATGCATGCACCACCAAAGGTCTCGAAAAACACCACATGGCCGCATGTGTCGCTGGCTCAAGGAGATGAGCACAGCCCCTAGGACTAAACGACGCGAAGTCAATCAAGGGTTCGGTTCAGCGGAGTCGGCTCTGCACTCTGCTCAGTTGGTACGCTCTGCACACTTTGACTTTGCAGAGTTTGCATGGACGGGGCACCCTTCAGCAGCAGTGTAGGGAAGCCGGACTCCAGCCTCGGAGACTAGGATAAGTTAGCTTGGTGCGCACGCGTTCCGACCAGTTGGAGGCACAGAATGGGGCAATCTAAGCTGCGGCCAAGCTGCGAGTGTGTCGGCGACTGCAAGCCACTCGCCTCCTCTGCTCGTCTCAGTTTGTCAACACCTGATTCACCAGCAATACAGCGACAGATGCTGCTCAAATTGGTTTCTATATTCGCTTGGACCTCCCAGCCATTCCTAGCCAAGCTGCAGCTGGGTTCCCGGGGAACGGAGGTTGCAACTACTCGATGAGGGACAGTGCTCGATGGCCGCGACGACGAGACCCGTCTTGCTGTAACCCGCAGAGCAGTGCTCACGGTGGAGCCTGTTTCGGCCTGCAAGCTCCACACAGAAGCATGGCGAACATCATTGCAGATCTCTGGTGTAATTGGCACACGCCAGCAACTGGTTCGTACTGGCCTGACTGCGGGCCGCGCTGTCCCGCCGATCGGGAGCTACAGACATGGCCTGCACTGTCCGGCACACTGCACAGCAGCGCCCTTTATACACCCAGCACTTCCAATCCATTCCGACCTCTGAGCCAGATGGTGCTGCGCTGGAAGATCTCCGCCTCGCCTGGGCGTAGACAACCTGCAAGGCACATAGAAGGGGGCCCGTCTGCTGGGCTGGGCATGGGCATTCCCTGACGGCGAAGTGGCTGCCTGCTCTGTGTCCTCATGTCGATTCTCATGCCATGGCAACACGCCATGCAGACTTGTATACTTATACTCGATTTTGTGCAAGGCCACATCCACTCGACACAAGCTTACTGACCCTCGCATGGCTCTCAAAAGTAACGGCAAAATCACCTCCTGCACAAAGAGGCTGCCGACGCGGTGTTGATGAAGTTGCTGTCTTTGTCAACCCCTTTCATCTGCAAATTTAACGCCGTGTGGAGCACAGGAGTCCGGGTGACGAAAGCGAATTGACAAGACTTACTTGCGCTGCGGCAAGAAATTTACCTGTACTTCCCGCTCATCGCCTCTGTTTAAATGCACTAGAGCGCAAGAAAGCGCATCACAGCTATGCCGCGATGACTTCACCTCATGAGCAAGCGGCCTGGCTCCGGTTTGGTTGCTCTGGTGTTTGGCTGCGAGAGCTCGCCTGCAGTAAAGCCACTGAGTTTTAGCTGAAAGACTCTGCAGAAGGCTCCGTCCTTCTCCGTTGCAACTGGACGCCGGGCCGTGACAGTGATCCGAGGTTGCTTGTCTGGGCTAGCCCGCGGCTCGTAGCGATTGCCTCCACAGCCCATGCTTGAGCTCGCAGAACGAACACATGTCAGACAAGCAGGGAATAAGCAAGACTTAAAGACTTGAAGCCTGGAATATGGCAGGACTTCGCTTTTTGCCGACTGCCCACCTACCACAACTCTCCGAGGTGGCGAGGTCGAGGATGCTGCAGAGGCGGCAGTCGAAGGGGCATCTGCTCTTCTCACCACACGCACGGTGGCAGGCTCCCGTGACCTGCACAAGGCACAGAATCCGCACATTCCATCCCTGCCCCTCGAACTCTTTGCCACTCCTAGCCTTGACCTTCTCGCCTGGGCGGGAACGTCCAGGTTCTGCCCTGCCAAAAGGAAAGGGTGGATTTCGCGTGTGGCTTACAAGCAGGCTTGATCGCCTGCAGCAGAACCGCTGGTCCAATCCGTGGGCTCTGGACAGAACGTTTGAGCTGCGTGCTCGGCAGACGGCTCGCGAGATCGACTCCCGCTTCTTGCCGGAACGTTCACTGGTATAACGTGGGCCGAGGACGAATCGTTCTGCGCCAGCCAGTTGTAGAGCGCGTCCGGACTGGGACTCTCTGGTCCGTTACCTGCAACACAGCCGCGAAGCGGGTCACACAGGCGAAAGCCTTCAGCGAGATCTCGCGCCGAGAGGCCGTCCGCGGTCGCTGGCCGATCTTGGATCCTAGGTCCAACGGATCTTCTGTTTCTTGCCACGAGTCATGTGCCCAATGCCCATGCTCGTGGCTGTTTAAGCAGAAAAGGCACCCCGGAGTCGGTGGAATTTCACCATGACTCCTGCGCCGCAGCTCGCTGATGGCAGCATTGCTCAAATTGCTCAGCTCATCGTCGTCTCGCTCGCGACTTAGCGCAACAGGGCAATCTCTTTCACCAGGCTGAATTCCTAGGAGAAGCAATCGACAGCAACTGGGAGCCCAGCGAGATCGAAACTGGAAGCTGCAGCTTTTGATTTCCTGCAGTCACAGGACCGAGAAAAAGCCAAAGACAACCATTGAAAGAGTGCCTCAAGTTACTGAGGCTTTGTGTGTCACATTGCAATGAGCGAGGGCGTCTGTGTCAAGCCTCGCTCGACCCGCTCCACGGCCACCGGCGACGGATCGTTGACGAACCCTGGAAGATCTGCATCGGGCTCTCCTTGTGTATCATATTGTATTCTATTCTATCCTACTCGATTCTACTCTGTTCTACTCTATTCTGCTCTATTATACGATGTTGTATTAAATTATAATGTATCATACGACATTACAGTATACTATAGTCTGTATCGTATACTTAGTCTAGTATATTAGTATATGACATGTGCCCTTACCCCTTGCCCTGGTCTGTCTCATGAAGGGTCTCCTGGCGGGGTGTGCGTGACCACCTCCCGCAAACTTGGGCTCTTGGAAAGCTTCGCGGCTTCCTCATCCACCGGGAAGACCTTATAGGGTTTAGGGTTTAGGGTTTCAGCACTCACAACTGGGACAAGCCTGGCGAGGGTTTAAGGTTTTCTTCCCTCTCGAATGGCAGAGAACTGGTCTAGGGTTTAGGGTCCTCATCCACCGGGAAGACCTTGCGAGTTAAGTGGAGCGCTGCATACAACGCAATGCCACAGAGGAGCAAGACTTGAGGCCAGAACAAGGAGCCCTCGATCACGGCTTCTGCCCCTGTGCCCTTGAAAGCCAAAAGCTCAAACCTGACTCCAAATAGCCCGTGTAGTGTCACAGTCATATCATCTGTCATATCCATGCTGAACAGCCGCCTTGCTCTTCGACTTCGTTTCGTGGATGCGCTTTCGCATCATGTAGAGACCCCCTGCGATGCTTGTAGATGCATGTGTCCCGCATGCTTGCAAGCCTCACTGTGAGAGGCCTCCTGCAACCGCCGAGCCCATCACGATCAGCGGCAAAGCTATGGCTACGGCCAGAAAGGTGATGCCAGCTTGCTCTGACTCATTGGCAATTGAGTTCCTGACAAAGTGGGTCCGGCCGGTTTGACTGCAACATGGCTACAGTAGCTTGAGTTGGGGTTGTTCGGTCCTGTGGAAAACAGTGTATGCACCTCCACCTTGGGTCGAAGAGCAGCTCGCTCTTACCCCATCATCATCCACGGATGTCAGCGCCACGTTATTTGCCGTCCAGGAATTGGAACCTGAAGATTCGACCATCCGCGACTACTAGTGTGACCGAAGTGGCAGAAACAAACATCCACTGCGACGAAGCTCATGACAAATCGCCCACGGTTCTCACGCACACAGCATCCCCAAAGGATTAAGATAGTCAACGGCTGTAGCGACACATGCTGTTTCTGGTGTAAGGCCTACAGCTCCACGCAAATTCCTCGGCTGCTCCTGTCGGCTACCTATGAAGACTCATGCTCAAAACAATGGTTGTTCGTGATTACCGTTGGCCCGATCATCCCACTCAAGGCTCGCTCTGGCAAATGAGCTGTCTTCCAAACTTGATGCCAGGGTACTGGGGTCGAAATACAGACAAATTAGCTGCGCCAGTGGATCATCGGTGCTTGGCACCACCACGCTGACAGAGACGGCTGAGCCCCGGAAGCTGATAGAGTCACCACACTTTGTCAACCTGAAGGGTTCAAAAGCCAGCAAGCCGCGAAAGCACGGAGGAATTGCCATGAAGCCAGTGCTAAGCTGCGAGCTCCACAATGGTTACTGTGGCGTTCTCCGAAACCTCTCGGTTTGCACCTCAAAATGCGAGCAGCTCAAGCCTAAGGTCTGCCACGCTAATCTCTCTGATGTAGTGTCCCATGGCCGTTCCATCGCTCCAGGCTCTTTGTCTGAGGCCGGAGCCGAGACTCTCGTTCGCCCAAGCGTAGGGGTTCGTGCCGATCCAATCCGTGGACTGTAACCCGATGGTCTCACCTGGCAAGGCCACGATAGCAAGGGGTGTCGAAAGCCCATGGTCTATGGTGCAGCTCTATATGCAGCTGTGAGGCAAGCAGGATCGGCTTGCAATCGCCGAGCTCCAGCTAAAGCTGATGAGGGCACAGAAACACCATGAGCATTGACGCCGTTCCTGCACGGCACAGGAAGATTCGACAACCTATCACGGCACTTGCAGATCGATACATGCCGAGTTGATAGGTCGAGTAGCTAGAGGTGTTTATGCTAAGTTAATTTTGCTTGCTGTCCCTTTTGTGTAGAGAAGACTTTTTGATCATCCGATGCGCCTCTGGACATCTTCGGCCGATTGCTTCTTGACCACCACCTGGGAGCCTTTGCCATCGGCACCCACGGATGTCAGCACCTGTGTGGCATTGACCTCGATCGAGTTCATCACGGACTGCCCCAGCTTGGAGGTCAGGCCGATGAGCTTCGAAGTGGTTGTGGCCTTCTGCTCCTCGCTGACGCCACTGGAGGACGAGGAGCTTCCGGACACCATCGCTGCGACGCTCCCGAGCAGGGAATCTCCGGCATCCTTGCTCATCGCCTCGAAACAGGGGCACCCGCCACAGCGAATAAAAACTGGAGGCCGGCTTTGGAATGCCAGGCAAGCTTTAACAAGGTTCAGCGAAAACACGTCGCTGATTTCAGATTGCTAGCTACCCTGCAAAGCCATTGTCATCGTGATCCAAACTTTGGATTCGTTGCAGATTAAAAGATTCGACAAGGGGAAGGTGCGGTTCAATCACGCACTGTCGCACTGTGCTTTCAGGGACCAGGGAACAAACGTGATTAGAAACCTTCCACTGTCCAGGCCAGGGACCCCAGGAGTCAGTGCTGTTTCCAGCACAGTGTCAAGTACCTCCGCCGCCTTTTCAACGATGGCCCTCAGCGAAAGAATGAAGCTCGCACATGGCCACAAACAACATCTCCAACCTCCGAAACAAACTTATCATATTCTGCACATGCGTAAGGAGGTGCGGGTCGGCAGCTGAACTTCCCTTGGACATCGTGCTTGCCATCACATCACCAACCTGCATCAAGGCAGGCTTCGGGAGGCTTGGCCCCCTCTGCGGCCCAGTCCTACCCGTGGGGAAGGCCTTCTTCAGGCCTGAGCTCTCGGCAGAAGTTATTTCAGCAGCCAGCTGCAAAGCATCAAGCTCTGCATTGACGACCTCTGCAAAGATCACAGAGTGAGCACCATCCCACAGCTCACTACAGCAAATTAACGGGCGTGAGAAACGCAAAGCACCGGTCATCGTATCTTATAAACACTCCGTACACGCTATATTATCTTGGGGCTTCCTTACTATTATAATTATAGTATAATGGGCCCCAAAACCCTTTTCAAGTTATGAAGCGCAATGCAGTCGAAGATCTGCTTTCTGAGTCTCCTCGTCGCCATCGATGCTCACCGAGCTCACGGCTGCAACCGCGTTCAGGATACTGTCGGCCTGAACACAAGTCGCAACTTTGTGTTACCTGTGTCTCTGGTGGTATCTGAGTCCTGCCAATTGGTGCCCGAACTCTCAGGCTGCAGAATGAGGCATTCTGATGAAGTGGGCAAGATTAAGCTCTTCTCACGATCAGGACCAGGACTTTCTCAAGAAGTCGAAGTAGAACGGAGGATAAATTTGCAACTGCTCTAGGCAAAGGAGAGCGGGATAAGCAGTATGAGCAGCTCAGCAGTCGTGGCAGTCGCGGCGACTTTGCAGCCGGGCTGCGTTGCTTTGTGCTTTGGCACTCGCCAGCGCAGCCACCGCAACATTCGGGTCAACTCCACCCACGGGCTGCGAAACCAAAGGCCCCATTAGTCCAGTCGCGCTGCTTGCCCCCAAATGATCACCTCACATAGGCACAAAACAGCGAGCTTCTTGGAATCAACCGAAGGCAAGGAACAGGAGCCATGAGAGCTCAGCCAAGGGGATGGCTTTGGCAGGCTTTGGAGCCGCTCTCAGCACCCCACGTGAACGCACGACCGTCACATGGGATCCCAGGGTCATAGGGCTTGATGCTGTAGGCGATGTAGACCTGGAAAGTCGATGCTTTGCACTGTGCAGGCACGACCAATCCCTGCACGTCTGGGAATCTAGCCATCCACGCAGCGTCACGCCATTCAGCTTTGCCCAATGATTGGGACTCGATGCGTCCTGCCACCTGTCGGCACATGTTGTTCAAGAAGTTGAGAACTGTTTTGTCATGTCGTTTCTTTTGAACCATGTTTGTTTTCTGTCCTGGGGATTCGCTCGCACAAGGCACGCAAGGCTCCACACAAGTCTGTCAGGCTAGAGAGGCTCCCAGGGCGGTAGAATGCACTTGGGGTTTAGGGTTTCGACTCGCTTAGGGTACAGGGGTTTGGGGCCTTTGATTCTGACGACGGCAAGGCTGGGGTTTCGGGCTTAGGGTCCGGAGTTCAGGGTTTAGCGTTTGTTGCCTCCTTGCGAAATAGGGGTTAGGGTTTGGGGTTTCAGGGTTTGTTTGCCCGGTTTAGTGGTCTAGTGTTTCGGCGCTCACACTCGGACAATCCAGGCGAGGCATGTGGTCTAAGGTCGGCAGTGTGAAACTCATACCATCTCCAAAGAGTTCAAGATGGCGTGGCTGGATGGGGATTTCGGCGCTTAGAATTTAGGCTAGCCGCTAGCCAAGAAACCAAAACCCGAGAAGCCAAAAGCCAGGAAGCTGTGAGGCCGTGAGCCAGCACAGCAAACAAATCCCAACATAAAATTCCTAGAAAAAGAACAACCTCCCGATTCAAGCCTGGCTGCTTCAAAGTTATGCAAGGCACACTCGTGTTCAGTCAAGCCAAGACACTCAATTGCCGCTACAGCGACATTGGTGTCCCACGGACTGGCTAGGCGTAGCAGGTCATCCAAGGCAAAGTCAACAAACTCCTTGACTGTCATGACGCAACAACCCACACACACACAAAGAAAAATACCATAAAACAAAACAATAAAGAAAACACAGGCTGTAAGCCGCTACATCAACTACGCCCGAGACTCGTATTCCAGCGAGGACGGCTGTTCATCCTGCCAGCCCTCTGTTTTGAACTCGAACCTGCCCCACAGGAACACCGGCAATCACAACACAAATGCTGCCGAAGAACAAACCTCTCACATCTCTTGATATTAGTTCCTTCAGGCTTCTGATTTCTTCGGGGCACGTCGTCACCACCGCATAGCCCTCCGCAGGCGTAACGTTCACCGCATCTTCCGCACGAGGCTGAGGCGGCCCATCCGCCAGGAAGCGATTGGAGCGCACCGCCTGCATGCCGCCTTCGAGGGCTCAGGGTTTAAGGGTTTAAGGGTTTAAGGGTTTAGGGGTTTAGGGGTTTAGGGGTTTAGGGGTTTAGGGGTTTAGGGGTTTAGGGGTTTAGGGGTTTAGGAGTTAGGGGTTTCAGCACTCACTCTCCGGACTTGCCTAAGGGTTTAGGGTGTAGGGGGGGGTTCAAGGGGTTACTTGGAGGTTCTTGGGTAGTTATAAGTGGCGTTATAAGTCCCCTAATATGGGTTATAACTATAGTTATCTTACTTATACCCCCACTTATATCTACCCATGAACCTCCAAGTAGGAGTTCAAGATTAGTTCAGGACAAGTACTGGCATCTTAAGCAGGCAGCAGAAAGCAAAAGCCCAACAAATCCCAACGCTTCCTGCTGAAACGGCGGTTGCCGCGGTGGAAAAGGCTCCTCCACGCAGGTCTTGAAAGACCACGCTTGATCCGAACAGCATCACGTACTCGTAATAGCTGCCGCGGACCATTTGTGAGCCATCAAATACCGGGATGATCAACTCAGAATACGTCTGATTGCCAGTGCCTTCTGGTTCCTGACACCGTGATTTCGGAAAATGCGGGTCATGAGCTGGCTCCCTTTTATGCGGCCAAAGGGTCGATTACAGATAAGATCCGACCAGACGAGGACTCCATCAGCACCCATATCCAAGACGTCAGGGGCGGAACCGTACAAAGGTCGCTTCCTGAGACCACTGCGGTCGGCCCAGAACGACCTGAGTCCGATCCTACGCTGTGACTTGGATCTCAGGGGTACTTGGAGGTTCATGGGTACTTATAAGTAGGGTTATAAGTCCCCTAATATGGGTTACAATTATAGTTACCCTACTTATAACCCCATTTATAACTACCCATGACCCTCCAAGAGGGGTACGTCAGTGCAGCGCCCACAACGCTCTGCTGACACGCCTCTGTTACACAGCACCTCTGAGCAAGGTGCCCCAACCGACTTGGGTTGAAACGGCACTGCCGTTCAGCCACGGGGTTGCAATCAGAACAGGCGGAAGGCCGAAGAAATTGAGGGTGACCTCGGTTATGGTAGGTCACTTTTCGCATGGCAGCAGAGAGATACACCGGATTAGCCACTGCTCTAGCGGAGTCGGGCTTCAATAAACCGGCCAAGCTGAAGCGTGCTGTCACCATGCCACCACAGATTGACAGATGCCTGCAAGTTGTTCAGGCAAGGAGCCGTTACAGAAGCTTGCCCCGCATCTGCTTCGGTTTGGTCGGGTCTCCACACGAGAACCTCGGAATGCGAAACGAAAGCTTTAGGTTTGCAGCACGAGCGTGAATCCGGTCTATTTTGGCCTGAGTGCTTTGGCCGTACAGATCACGCAAATTCAACAAGCCGTGCTTCGTGCAAGGCGAGCGGCGCTGAAGGTGTACGTGCCTTCCTGAGGCGCCGCGAAGCGTTCTACGTCATTAAGCACTGCTAAAGCCATCGTCTCATCACATGCCCGGCAGTCCTCCAAAGTGCGCCCCGGCACTGTCAGTGTCTCGGTGTTTCCAGTCAATGTGCTACATGCCTGCAGGTCAGCTCTGCAACAGAGACCGCAGAGCCAGATTTCCCAGTCTGTGCTGTCAGTTGCTGCCGTGCTGCCGCTGAGTATTCCCCTTGCGACTCGCAGGTCCACTTGTACCTAAGAAGTCATGACATACTTCCAGCTTGAAACCAACGGTCTGCCCACTGTGATCTTCGAAGCCGAAGCACCGGAAGCTTGCGGTCCGCCAGGGAGCCAATGACGGGTCTTGCGATGCCTACGGATGGTGAAGTACAGACAGCTTCTGCGCGAGCGCTGGCTTCGAAGCAGTGACGGGTGAGGCTTGCTGGAGATGTGCTGAATGTGTGATTGCTGAGGCCTTTAGCAGGGGCCTCCTCTTTGAACTCTTCGACACGCACAGCCAAAGGCAAACCCCGAGTCGCGCGGCCTCGGAGAGTGACCCTGCGGCCCTGCCTCGGCCGTTACGAAGAAGGCACAGCTGGCCGACGTCTCGGCTGGACCCTGCACAACGGCGATGGGAGTCAGGCCTCAGATTTTTTTGGGGGGATTCATCGGACCTAGGCATATGGCTCGGAGAAAATGTCACAACTGAAGCCGGGCTTCGAGGCAGCACATCGAGGCTGAAGGTTTCAACTCGTGTGTTTTCTGCCAAAGACGAGAATGCACCTTCAAATGTTGCTGCCATGTCGTTGCACGATAACAGCCCACAGAAAGCGGCACGCGGCGACATGACATGTCAGCACAGCTAGCAGAACCTGCGAAGTAGGCCGTGGCCCTGAAAGAGTGAGAGGAGTTCGCTTCGAAGCTGAAAGGAGCGAAGTTGATGACAAACCTGGGCATCGGTCGACGGTGCCCCTGTTGAAATGCTTACTTACAAAACATTCAGCGGAGACACGGCGAGGCCACTGTGTCCACTAAGGAACCAGCCTGACACTTCAACAAGAGCGGAAGTGTGTGGCGGACCCCACTCACGAAGGTTGCCCGGTTGCAGCTTGTGCCAAGGAACATCAGAAAGCCTGATCCACGTGTCTGTTGTTTCGTTCTTGTACTCCCAGTCAACCGTGATGATCCGATTGTAGCCTCGTTTGCGGACGGGGCCGAACCCAAAGCATGTCTACTTCGAGTCTAAAGTCAAGGCAAGGAGCGATCGGCATCAGAGCACGTGGCATCCTCCAGCAAGACCGTCTGCAAGCTGAACTCGACCTGCAGATCGCAGGATAGGGCAGGCGAACATTGGCGGAAGTCCCTGGCCTCGTCACTGTTCAGGATGGTGGCATTGGCTGAGCTTGCCAGAACGACCTGAGGAGCCTCACGCACGCCGTGTGCACATATCTACCCGCATGGGCCTTTCACGGGTCTCACTGCTCAGTGCATCCTGTCCTGGTCCACTCGCACGAAGGCATTGGAATAGGTGGCTGTCTCCACACCGAGCCAATTTCTGACAGCGGCCACAATCTCCAGCCGAACTCGCGGCACCTAGCTCGTGCACTGATTACAGCACGATGCCAAAGCCATACAACAGCTGCAACCCAAAAGGGCCTCACCGAGCTCCTGAAACACAGCATCCACACCAGCATTGAACTCCGCAGCCGTTATGCTCAGGACCAGGGAATCCTGAGATCAAAAGCTTGTGACTGGACCCCCTTGAAGCAGTCAACCACCACGGACTAAGTCTTGGCATGACAAGCTTCTTGGTCACTGGCACGTGCGAGCACTCCTTCCAGCGAAGTTCCTCGTCAAGTGCACAAGGGTGCCTGTAACTTCTGCATACTACACTGTTACTACATGCTGAAGAACACCTGGCTTGAGGCTCTTTGTTTGGTCACGAGTCGCATGGGAAGAGGAGTTTCGGGTCCAAAACTCCATTCCACGACATACGGGCGTCCGGCATCACCAGTCAAGTTCACACCTCAGACCGGGATAGCCCGGGGGCGGTTTGAGCGGTTAAGGAAGCTGTCGACGGCTGAATTGCGCATATGCTCCTTGCAAGCGCTGCCGAGAATGCAATGCCTGCTATGAATTCATGCTGGTTCCACCTTTCTTATCCTAGCAAGCTGGCTCAACCACGTCTCAATCGTCTCAACCGCATGCGATCTACCTGATACTTGTGAAACCGAAGGCGCTCGTAAACGTCAGCGCGGTGCAGGACCTCGTGCTCTCGTGCGAGGAGACCAGCCCAGAAGTGGTGTTGAAAAAGGTCTGCCTCGTGAAAACCGGGCCTGAGATGGTCGTTCTGAGTCGTTCTGCACCAACCAAAACATTCTTACGCAGATCTGCTGCAAGTCTCGACAGCATTTTGCGTTCGAGTCTCTGCTTAGTGGCGGAGTTGGCAGAAACGCGATGTTTCCTGACCGCACGAGTAACACTCCAGACCGTTGAAAGCGTGCTTCGACATTTTACGGAGCTGTGTTTTCTCGAGATCTTGGCGCATGCAACCCCATCGCAGTTGAAATGGAAGATCTCAGAGGATCCTACAGCGTTCATCCCCGTCAAATCAGGGCGGTCCTCTTAGTTTACAACAATGTCGTGCTTTGGCCACCCCAGAACGCTCCAATCCGTGCTAGCTGGAACTCTCTGAACGTGACTGAACTGAATCTTCGGATCTTGCCTGCTGGCACCACAGTGTTTACACCAGTTGTCACGTTCTCACCCAACAGGAGCGTGGCAGTCGCACCTGGGTCCAAGGATCCCATGTAAACACAGCACTTGTCCTGTCCCGTATCAAGCTTTGATGCACCAAACGCATCTCAGCCACTGAGAGGTACGTCCAGCTCTCGGTGATCCTACAGACAATAGGCCAATATATCGGGGACCGGAAACAACCCAGCAACACCAAGCCACGCAACATGCACCCACACCGACAGAAGCATCGTCCTGCGACCACGCGCAAGTCTGCGGAGATCCGAGTGCTTCGTGCATTGCAGCATCGAAGATTTCGGCACAAGGCGCATCGTCTGCCAGCCGATTGCCTGATAACCGAACCAGAAGCAGCATCGAGGAGGCAGAGACAAGGAGCTGCAACAGGCCTGCACCCAGGTCAGCTACCAGACCGACGGTGCGCAGCCTCTCAGCAAGCTTAGTTCACTCGTGGCTTAACGTTGAATCCTTACAAAAACAGAAATCTTAATCCAACCAAACGTCAGGACATGTCAGGACCACTACTCACGATGTACCTGAGTCCAATGACTTGCCAGAAACATCGCAAGGAGCACCTGGCAGGCTCATTGAACGTCAGGCGCAGCACCTCAGCACTGTCTTTTTAGGCGACCCTTTGATTTCCGGGGCCTGGGAGCAGAAGAGCAGCAACACCCAGACTCCCACGATTTAAGTCAAGTTGAAGCATATTGCTTCCGGCGGTGCGAAAACCGAAATCTTATGCTTCTGAGAGGCCTGGAAATCATTCAACACTTCGGCAGAGTCAATCGCAAGGAATACAAGGGTGGTCGTCGAGGACGTTGAAGTGGTAGTTGTACTGCTCGTCGTAGAGGACGTGGTGCTGCTGACGGTGCTGCTAGTTGTTGTTGCAGTGTGTGTGATGGTAGTGGTGCTGGTGAGAGTAGTCGTCGTGGACGAGGATGTCGAGCTTGTAGAGCTGCTGGACGACGTCGTAGAGCTTGTGCTGGTTGAGCTAGTTGTGCTGGTGGTGGTGCTCGATGACGACGTGGAACTTGAGCTTGTCGTCGTGCTACTGGTGCTACTGGTCGTGCTGCTTGAGGATGTCGTGGAAGAGCTGGTCCATGTAGTGCTGGATGATGATGTGCTGCTGCTACTTGTCGATGTAGAAGTCGTGGACGTTGATGTAGTGGTTGAACTTGATGAGGAGGTTGTGGTGGTGCTGGTGGAGGTCGTGCTGGAGGTGGTGCGAGTGGTGCTCGTACTAGTTGAACTGCTGCTGCTCGTACTCGTTGAGGTGGATGATGTCGACGTCGTGCT